AAAAACCGGCTGGAGAGAATGCGCATCGAAATCCGGTTTTCCCCGGTCTTCGTCAAAAGGCAAATGATGCGCTATACATGCAAGTTGCTTCGTCGCTTGAACATGGTTTACAGATTGACCAACAGTGAAACCCTGATTGCCGAAGTACCTGGTCATAATATTACCACTATCGTTTGAGGAATTAATTGGGCCGTTGATGTTATTTGTGATTAAGAATCTGTGCTCAAAAAATGGTTGAGGTTCACAAAATTGCTTTTCGCTTTGATTTGGTTCGACCTTCAAACATCTTTGGTTTTGTTGGAAAATTCCGTTTTGCTCTTGGCATGTATATACAGGGTTATAACTAATAACATAGGTTTGGTTTTGAACAAAAGGCGGGGAATTTTCCAGAGAACTTGAGTCTAGCGATGAAGCGATGGTTGCATTAGACAATGAAGGGGGAGAGATCTCGAAATTAGATGGTCCACCTACGCTCGTTTCGCTGATAACGGTCACTTTCTGCAGGAATGATTCTGCTTCTAATTGACAGCACGCTTCATTTTGTAATTGATTCGGATCGATCGAACCACGAGGGCTGTTTGCATGCATTTCAAGCTCATGTCCATTTATTACCGATGGTTTCCGTTGAAATGAGTGAAAAGTCATTTTGCTTGAGTCCGGTGCGAAATTTCCAGAATGGTTTCCGTCTAAATAAAGCTGGTCCCTTGAAACATTGTAAGATTGAGGCGCTTTGTATGACTTACTGGCTCCAATGAAGAAGCTTTCTGGCTTCTTTTGTTCTGACATTGACTCGCCCGTGGTGTTATCATCCAGAAAATTTTCAACTGATTCTTGATAATCGGACAACCCGAAACTTTGTCCTTCGTATGTTTCTATTTGGTTGCACTGGTTTGAAAAACTACAATGTTCTGACGTTGAAAAACTTCTTCTGAACTTACTTGGACTCAATTTGCCATGAAGTATCAATTCTGGGGGCCCTTGCATAAAATACTGCGAGGTGTTGACTAAAGGATTTTCTTGTAATGACTCTTCCTCGTTCATCAGATCTATTACACCAGGCATAGTATCTTCATCAAGATTGCAAATTGGAGATAAAAATTTGGTATTTCCATTTTGAATTCGCATTTTCGCCAATTTGCTACAATCGGCTGAATTATTGGTATCCCAGCTATGTCGAAATGTCTGCTGATTCTCTAAAACATCTGTAGTGGAGAATGATTGGCTCATTAGGTGTTCACTTGGCAGAAAGTCGAATTGGTTCTGTGTGGCTATAGATTTGAAAAGATTTTCATACTGAGTAATTTGAGATCTTTCTTCGTCGGAGAGTACAGAACTGAAGTTATCCATCTTTATCGATAGTTTTTCTTCTGAAAATCTAAAACAAATTACAGACTTAATTAAATCAATAATGATCATCAGACTAGAATAATGTATACGCCGTTAATTAATTAAAAACACCAATCAAAAATTTCACTGTTTGGTGTCATAGCACACTTAGGATTCCATAAATAAAAATCAAAGTTGGTTGAAGAAATAGACTGCATAAAAAGTCCCTAGACTAATACATGTATCTTGATTTTATGACCTGTTTTTTATGATTTCATCATAATATCGATAAAAGCGAACGGCTGTTTAACATTGACAGACCTAATCAATGATTGGGTCGTAAAAACAAAACTTGTCTGAGAGGTCAATTATTTGAGAGGTGCGAAGTAAGCTCATGTATAAATTTGACAAAAACTCACATTAGAATATCAGAAAGTTTTCTTCTCTTTCTGAAAAAAATCAAGGTTGCGTATGCTTGATCAACAACTAAAAAGGAACCAGAATAAAAAATGAAAAAAAGATAGGCTGAGCGAAGAAACTAAATCTGAATTTGAAAGAGCATTGTTTCGAATTTCTGTTGAAATTATCTGAAAAAGGTTTCTCAAATCACATTCTAACATGCAGACATGCAGTTCCAAATAAAAGCCCTGAAATTGGTACTGCTTACGGTGGAAGACGTTGGTTTGAAAACTTTTGAAGAAGAAACTGAAATTTATCTAAAACAGTCAGTGAGGAAAAGGTGATGATTATTCTGGTTTCAGCAAATCGTTTAAGCTTTCGTTTAAGTCAGTTTCCTCATTGTACCACTGTTTTTACTAAAAAAGAAAAAATTGCCTCCAAATCCAGTGGGGCTTCCAGGAGTTTCTCGAAGGGCAATCCAGGTGCGTCACAAAAAACAACAGGCTAAAAAATGATTTTTGATGACAAAAAATGGATGTTGTAAAGTAGTAGGGAAGGGACCCTTTGGGTAGTCAAGGTGTCGAACCTTCAGGGACATTCTTTAAAGTCTGCATCCAAAAACTTTCTACCTGTTTCATCCGGAGAAGCTCCACCAACCACGGATCACCCTCGTGCTCGTGCTTCGCAGGCAGCAGCCGCTAACTTCAGTAAGAGAAACAGGAGTAGTAATGTTAAATACCCATCATTATTATTCTTTCATATCTTTTTGAAGTAAAATCGATCAGTCAAAAACTGATTTTCGCTGTTGCTGTCACTGCAGTTTCAATTATTATTGGTTCGCTCTAAAGAAGTTCTTTCAACTTTCATTGATAAAGTCTATAAAAATATAAAATCTACTTTAAATCAGATTTTAAATCACATATTTTTTCAGCTGTATATAAAAAGCGCAGCTAATCCCGACTCAATTAAGTTGTCACTTAAATCAGTATTCAACATTCTTTTCAGTTTTACAATTTAAAAGTTATGTTTTGATTACAATATTGGTTTTTTAAACTAACAAAAAAGCTCAGTACATATGCTAAAAATCTGATGGTCTTTCAGACATATGGACTTAAATACAGATCTTTTTTGTGCTTCAGATTTTCGTAGGTGAAAATTTTCGTGAGTTGTACATGTTATGTATCAGAAAAGTATGTAGGTGGTAAACCAGAAATTAATTAGTAGGTGAGCTTTATCATTGTCGGCGCCAGAAGACACAAACAAAATAATTAACTGCGAGCACTTTTTTTTCCAAACTATCTACTAAAAAAGCGCCTTCAGGTGGAATGATTGGTCAAAATAAAACCCTCTCGGCAAAAAAAGTTTAAAACATAAAATATTTCAGCTGGTTTTGAAAGACAGGAATGATTAATTTCAGTTTATTGATTGCGAATAAATGATTTCAGTCAAATTTTCTTTACTTGTTCCTTCTTGAACGTAAATCATCCATCGTTACTATAGCCACGTTCTGAAATCCTGCCAACATCTTGAAAAACTGATTGTTTTTCAGGAGTCCTGCTAATCAAGAGAAGCATGCTATGACTTCCGGCAGGCCTAAAATTCTTCCATCCCAGTAATCTTCAAGAAAACATTAGGCCAGTCAGGACTTTTTCCTCATATACTGACCTTTATTCAGGGTTTCTGGGACCCCAGGTTTCCCTACCAAATTGCTCAATAGGCATTTGAATGCTATTGATACGAAACAAATGGCAAATAAATCAACCAAAACAAGCCTAAACTAGGCACATAAAAAAAATCAAAAAGCCTGCTAGACTGCCTCTATTATTTTCATTAAAATTCAAAAATCTTGTTCAGAGAGAGTAAATACGGTTACAGGGTTTTTTGCATTTTTGCATGTTTTTTTGTATAAAAGATCAAATACAAAAAATGAATACGATTGAGCTCTCGAGACTCAGATTATGCACTTCTTTGAGCTTTGAAGAACAGCTAAGAGATATCGCTTCAGTTAGAGCAAAAAACTAATTATAGTTTTTTGAATTAACCGTAAGCTTGAATTTTTAATTTTCTCAAGCAACCATCTGTCACTTAGAAACAGACGAATTAGACGTCACAAGACTTAGACGCAAGAAAACGCAATCTACAGTTAGAAACAGACGAATTAGAATAAAAAGACGTAAGACATCGTTGTGATTTTTTCGTTGTTTTAGTACTGGTTTATATCAAATGGCAAAAAATAGATTATCTTGAGATTATGGAGATAAAAATATTTTGGCGGAATTAAAATATGATATAATCGCGGTCAAAATAACCTTTTTCTCGCTATTATAATAGTAAATGTTGCCAAAGTTGGATAAAAATCGATTATGGTTTTTTGTTAACTAAATGTTTGCTATTTTATTGTGGCAGATTTACACATTGTAATGGTTTTGTAATCCATTATGAGCAATTTTTTTCAAAAAAATTAAAAAATCCATCAAATCTATCATAATCAATCATAATCCATTTTTATTTTCAATATAATCGATCAATTTTTGTACATAAAAACCATAAAAATCAAGTTTTTGTACATACTTACTCAACTTTTTACAGCTTTCTGCAAAACTGGAACCAGAACGGACATGTTTATCGCCTAGTTCCCTAATCAATAACCCACCTCAACAATTTCCCGCTACCCCTTTCCCCAAAAAATTTTCTAATACGCCCTATCTCACCAGAATCTCCACGTCTCCCCCGCTCTCCTCGTTTAACTCACCTCTAAAGCGTTTAACCGCCCCCCCCCCGCGTTTAAATCCCCACACGCGTTAGTAATTCAGTAGGCAATTGACAAAAAGCAAAAGACAAGGGCGTTATGTGCAACTCAGTAATCTGGGACGAGGCGGATGCGAGAGTACGAAGCTATTTCTTTCTATGTCTAGGCATGAAAGGACAAAGACAAGTTCAACAAAAACGACCAGGACTAAATATACAAACGAAAACGACAAGACAATTAAAACAAGTATTGGAAGACATCTTTATCACACAAAGAATCATAGAATTCGAAAGATACAATTTTATCTGCCGTAAACAAAGAAAAAATGAAACACTGGAACAGTTCCACGCGGATCTGGTGGAACTAGCTTTACGTGCAGACTGTGGACTCAAGGAGGATGAATGGATTCGTGATATGTTCACCGCGCATATGAACAATGAAAAAAGTACCGAGAAGCTCTTAGCGGAAACAAGAACGCCACAAGAGGCATACGAATATGCAATAAGACGTGAAAAGGGCATCGTACACAGCAAAACTATGAAATTGAATCCAACCGGACCCACCATGCCTGTGACGATCAAACAAGAACCAATGGGCTATATCCAACCCAGAGGAAGTAGTGGCGGATTTTCTTCAAATTTCCAGAACAATAATAGAGGAAAAAACTCCCGTGGAAGACAAAACCAAAACACAAGGGGAAATCAAAACAGAGGTCCGCAGAACTAAACTTCTCAAAAACAATGCTATAAATGTGGAAAAGCGTTCAGCCCTAATCATCTACAAAAATCTCCAGCCTGGGATAAAACTTGCACAAAATGTGCAAAGCGAGGACACTTTGCGAGAGTCTGTCGTTCAGATCATGTAAACTTTCTTCAAAATAACAATGAAGACGAAGCGAGAAATGACAAAGAATGTCAACCACACAAAATCGAAGATAACGACCCAGTTGCTTTTGGTGAATTCGGATCACACAACGGATGGGAGGAACTACAGAGAGATAACTACTCCATGATGGCAATAACAGTTGCATTTGAAATCAAACAAACGGTAAATATCAGTGATGAAGATTTAAATGAACATATTGTGAAACTCAAAACAAAATCTGCTGATATACTGGCTATCGCGGATTCCGGGAGTCCAATGTCATTTTTAAATGAAACGACGGCACTAAAATGATAAATGCAGTATTTTTATAAAAATCCCGCCGGAAGATACAACACGAAATCTAGCATACTATAATGGAAAAAAATTTATCCCGAAAGGACGACTAATTCTAGCAATAGAATCCGGCGGGCGAAATATCGAATCGGCCCCATTTTTTTGTGGTAGACGATCGAAAAGCAAACATTCTCGGTCATAATCTACACCCAAACATTGGAAAAAAAATTAGTTTAGGAAAAACCACAATATAAACAGTTCCTAAACATAACACAAGAGAAAAAACCACACCCGGAGATAAAACAATGGGTAAAAGATAATTTCATAAATTTATGTGTTAGAATCGGAAAGTCAAAAAGACATGTTATGAAAACACAATTTATTCCGGACGTTACACCAATTCAACAAAAGGGTCGACGTATTCCAATCCACTTTCAAGAAAGGGTGGAAAACGAACTCAACAAACTATTCGATCAAAAATATTTTATATAATTGGAGAAATTTTCCGACAAACAGATCATCAGTCTGATTGTAATAACATTAAAAAAGGATCAAACGGTCAAACTTGCATTAGACTCAAAGAAAATTATTAAATTCGTTCATAAAACAAGTGCCAGATGCCGAACATCAATTTATTACTCGATAGCATCGCACAAACGATAAAATCCGACCCAGAAGAACCAACATTGTTCTCATCCCTTGACTTATGATACGCATATTCACAAATCCCTTTGGATAAGAAAACAAGAGATCAATGCAATTTTAGTCTAATTGGAGGAAACGCCACGGAAACATACCAGTTCCAAACAAAATTTTACGGCCTCACAGATATGCCGGCAGAATTCCAGAAAGCAATTGACCTGAAATTAACTAATTGTAAAAATACATATGCGTATTTAGATGACATCTTGATTATTACAAAAGGAACAGTAGAAAAACATAAAGATACACTGGAAAAATTTATTCACAAACTGGACGAAGAAAATCTCGCGATATCATTGGATAAATGTAAGTGTGCTTGCAAACAAATTGAATGGCTTGGTTTTCACATTGATAGCAAGAAGACTACCCCTTTTATCAAGGAAAACACACGCCAATGAAAAGCTTTGCCCACCTAAAACAATCAAACAACTTAAAAGTTTGATGGGATCAAACCATCATCTTACAAGATATATCCAACATTTGGCACAAGCCGTTGTGGCACTACGTCCTCTTCTGAAAAATTCAGACAAGCATAAAACACTTAGTTGATTGACTGAACTTGAATCCGCATTCCAAAGGATTAAAAACTTAGTCGCAGAAATTACTCAAAATAAACATTTTGATCGAAACCTTGATACACGTGTAGGATCTGATGCATCTACATATGGACTCGGCGCGGCCCTAGAACAAAACACAAAAGAGAGGTGGGTAGCTATTGCATACGTGTCAAGTTTTCAAAAATTGTTAGAAGGAAAATATTCAGTAAATGAGCTAGAACTATTGGGGGTCGTATGGGCGACAGAGCACTTCAAATACTATTTATACGGAAAAAAATACACAATAATTACTAATCATCAAGCTTTGATCAGTGCGTTTAACGCCAGCACACGATCTAAGACAAGCTAAAGTAGGCTCACGAGGTGGATTGATTGATTAATCCCTTTTAGTTTTGATATCAAACATTTGGCAGGAAATAAAATGGGGTTAATTGACCATTTATCCCGAAATCTGGTTGGAATCGCAATGCCCCCTAGCGCGTATGATGAGGAATTTAATGTGGCGTCAATCAGTTCATTCGTTAACAATCTTGAAATGATTGACAACTTATTTTTAAACCAATAAGCCAATAGGAAACTAGCGCCCTATCGGCTGATCAAAAAACGCGCGGAAAGCAAGGGGACATCAAACGCTCAATTGCATTCCAACCATTTCATTCATTGCATAAGCGGTCAAACACTCAAATCTGGTTTAACT